TTGGCTATTGCTGATTATTTGCTCTTATTTTTTGTATTGATTGTATGGTTTTGTACTCGTTACGTTTTTATATAATTTGCCCCTGACCCTGTTTATAAATACGCTTATTACTATTTATTAATATTTTATTGTTAATACGAACGCTTTTATTTTAGCCTGGTTACGTTCGTTTATTATGCTCTTATATAACTTAGGCCGGCCCGCGCGCTCGTTATATATAATAATTAATTTTATTACTTTGCTCGCTTACTATTTTTTTTACCCTATTTATTATATAAAGTTTATGAGCTCGTATAGCTATTTTGCGTGGATAATTATTATAATACTTTTAATATTAATCCCCGTCCCTAACCCTAACGTAGCTATAATTTATTAGTATTTTTAGCCCCTAGCTTATACTAACTGCACTTTTTAATAGTTTTTTTTTTTTATTTTACTATAGTAGTAGTTATATTTAACTTTACTAGTTATAGCTACGTACTAGTGCTTCGAGTAGTAATAGATTACCCCCTTTTATACCCTGGATATTATTATCTTTAGCTACTTAGCTATTTTTATTACTTACCGCTCTATTACCCCGCTCTTTGCCCCGACTTATTTTATTTAATATTAGTAATTAACTTTTGTTATCTAGTCCCGTATTATTACTACGCCCTTTATTAGTATTTGCTCTTAGAATTAGTTTTTAAGCGCTACTAGTATTATCGTTATTAATAGTACGAGCGGGTAGTAGTATTAGTATAAGCTCTTAAGCTTGCCTAGCCGTACTTAAAAGCCGATATTTATAATAACTATATAATACTTATTTAAAAAAATTTATTAGAGTAAGCTGGCGCACGCTAACTTATTAATATAAGCGGAAAACTTTTTTGTAATAATAATATTAGTGTTAGTAATTATTAGCTGCGCGGCTTATAATAGCCTTTTTTATTTAGCGTGTAGTAACGATTAGAAACGGATATAATTAATACTTATTAATATAGCGCGCGTAATTAGATTTTTTATTAGTGCTACGAATAGTACGATTATGATACTTATCCCGGTTTTTGCTATTATTATTAGTAATATAAATAATATACTTTTGCTAGCCCCGGTTAGTAGTACGTTAATAACTGACTAGTTACTTTTTAGTATTATAATTACTTATATGTTCTTAGCTTATTTGTTATTATATTATGTTATTGCGGGCCCGAGTAGCTTGTATAACCTTATTACTATTATTTTGTTTATATTTATTATATTCCTTATATTTTTTACGTTTTTTATTACTACTTTATTTTGTATTTATTTGTGCTAGCCGAGTCCTGTTTATTATTATATTTCCTTTTTTATTATATTATTTACCTTTTTTTGTTTCCCTTCCCCGGCTACCTCTTTAGCTACCTCCTTTTTTAAAAATTAATATTATAGCTAGTTAATCTCTTAGAATATTACGATTATTTTGGGCTATAGCTTACTTAAGAACCTGATATAGATAGCGTAATATTATTATGTTACTTAGCTCCTATATATTAATACTAGATTTTATATAATATTTTAGTTTTTTTTATAGTATATTAGCTTTTTGGTAACCGGGTTTATTTTAATATCATCCTCGTCCTTGTTATTATTATTAAGCTAGTTTTTAATTTATTATAGTGCGAGCCCCCGTATTTAATAACCTATTTTAATAGCTATGGCCTAGTACTATCTTACCTTTAGCTATATGCCCGTTATTATTTATATTACCTGCGCTAACGTCTAGTTAAGTTATTCTGTTTTTTATATTTCCGAGTTACTATCTTATTATATAAACTTTAGTTATTTTTTATATAGTTTATTTAGTTTATTCTTATGCTAGAGTATTTGTTTTATTAGTATTATTTATACGATATATATTATTATTATTTACTTAATCTCTTTAGGTACGAACTACGCTATTTTACGTAAATTATCCTAGATTATTTTTATTTTATTTTGGTTTATTATAATTATTATTTACCTGTTAAGTACGAAGATATTATGGATAAGTTATTATAAATTATAGTATTATAACGTTATTACCTTAGGCCCTTAGCTAGGTAACTTATTTTATACGTAGACAAGTATTATAAGTACCTCTTAGAATATTTTTAGTTACTAGAGCTATTATTATACCCCCTCGTGCTTAAGTTATTATTTTTTAGGGTCCTATATTAACGTCCTTAGCTACTTTATTACGACCCCTAGTTTAGGTTCTAACTAGCTATTTTCTAGCTTCGTTATGAATAACTATCCCGCCCCGAGCTATATTATATTATTTACGATTTATTTTAATTTAATTTATATTTTAATCGTTTCTTAGTCCCCCCTATATAATAAGCTAAGTAGTTTTTATATATTAACGACTTAGTCCCGGAGCGCTTATATAAAATCCTAGATAACGATATACTTATTGTTATAGAATAGTGATTTACCGTCGTTTGCTTAACGTATTAATAGCTATTTATTTATTTATAGTTGCTAGTTTTTATTAAGAGCTATTTATTTGATTATAGTATTAATAATTATATACGTATTTATATATATCTAAGTAGTATATTAGTTTTAGAACGCGAGTACTATTTAAATCCTAACCTTATTTTAGTCCCGGGGCTAGCCCTTGAACGTAGCTTTTAAAAAAAAGAGCTAGGATTATTATAGAATAGCTATTAGTATACCCGTATATAAATACGGCTTTATATACCTAAGTAAGTAGGTTTAAATCCTTAATATTATATAAAAATATAATAGTAAGTTTAAGTATATTTATTTATTAACTTAGGTTTTAATTAAAGTAATAAGAAATAAAAATATAGCCCGGTTAAGTATTTTATTATTACTCTAAGAATAGATACCCTCGATCCTTTTTTTATTATTATTACTATCCTGATTATTATAAAACTTATTATTATGGTTACTAGTTATACTATTTTTATTTAGCTCGGCTATTATATTATATAATAAGCTTTATTATTTATTTATAAAGCGGATAGCTTAATGCTTTAGTACTTCGTTTTTTTTAATTTAGTATACTTATTAATAAAAGCTTAGATATTAATACTTTACTAATTAGTATTTAGTTATAGACGCCTCTTTATTTTTAAGCTCGAACAGTATCTTATTAGGACTAGTACTTATGATATTAGTAAGCTATTAAAGCGTTTTGGTTAGTATACTATTTAATTATTAGTTATATTATTTTACTTTATAATTAAAGCTCTCCCTAAGACATAATAAGATTAATTACTCTTATATAGCCTCTTTATCTTATTCTTAGCTTTTTTTTAATACTATATTCTTAGTCTATATTTATTTAGTAATATTATAAATTTTAAGAAGATTATAAGACCTAAAATGCTTAATTTATTATAGCTTTTTTATTTATAATAAGTCCTAGTTTATATTTTTTTTTAAGTCCCCTATTTTTAGCTACTTAGTATTCTTAGTATTAAGTTTAGCTATATACTAGGCTATTATTAGCTTTATAGTATCCTTCTTATTACTATTACCTAAACTAGGTCTTACTTTAGTTTTATTATTATTAATAATTTAGTATTATGCGTATTTCCTATGTATTTATATTTATAACCGGATTTTTATTAATTTTAGCTTAGTTATCGTATACCTAGCCTCTTGCTAATAGTATATAATATTATTTTTTATTATAATAAAATAGCGGTATATAAAGTAACTATACCCCCATAAAACGTTAAATTATTTAATAATTAAGTTATTATTACTAAGTAGAGTATTAACTTTTAGATTAGTTAGATCCGAGTAACTATAATAGTCCTTAATATTTCTAAAAACTTTTTTTTTTAATTAATACTTATAACGGAAATATAACTTAATACTACTACCGGGTTAGATAGTTACTTTATATTTTTAATAGATAAGTATACGATACTTTTTATTAATCTTAACGAAGTTATTTATAGCAATTTAATACTACTTTATACTTTTTAGTAATAAATAAGTAGTATAAAATAATTTTTTTATTTATTATTCTTTAATTATTTTATTAGTACCCCTTTTTTATAGCTTAACCTTAGTAATTATTTATATAACCCTAACCCCGAGTCTCTGGTTAATAGGAAGTACTGACTAATTATAGCGCTAATCTAATTCTAATTAATATTATTCTAAAGTTCGGATTATATTTTGTAGTTTATATAGCCGTTTCTATTTAAATCGCCTCTAAATAATACCTAGGCTATATTATATATAAGTCTTATATACTATTTAAATAGTTTTTTTAAAATTAGGACTAATATTATAATATTAGTTTTATAGGGGTAGATTATTTTTATTTTATTAGTCCTATTTATAGACCGCTTATTATTTATTAGTCCTTTTTATTATTATATAACTTTATTTATAGTTTTTTTATTCCGTAAGGATAACTTTTATATTAGCGTTTTTTATATATATATAGTATATTATAGCCGCTACGAGCTTACGGGGTAGGCCCTAGTCTTAGTTATGTATATTAGGTTGTAATATTATAATATTATTTATTTAGTTATCGTAGCCTTAACTTTTACTAATATACTTACTATAACTAACTAGCCGTAATATTTAGTAACCTTTTTTTTAATTTTAAAATATTACCCTAAGAACTCTAAACTTAATTAAGGCCCTTTTAATAAAAAAACCGTTTTTAATAATATTAAAAGCCCGTTAGAGCTTATTTTTAGTATACAAAACTATTATATATTAATTAATAATTATATAAAAAAGAAATATATTTAGATAATTTTTATAATTATTATAGTAGTTTATATATTAAGGGTAGGATTTTAATACGGTAGCTAGGCGGGATTTTAGGGGGGCCTAAAAGGGGGGGGGGCCTATAAGTGGGTGCTTTGACTTACCAGGAGACGCACCTAAAGCTAGTGTCGGAGCTGGTGCAGCGCCTCCCTTTTCTTCAATGGGCCTTCGCCCAACGAGAACATGCCTATCAAAGTAAGAATAGACCAGACGAATTTACAGCGGGAAACTTACTGAGGCCAATAAGCGTGGATGTTTCGGTCGTTTCCGTTCTTGCGGACTTTGATGAGAAAGACTCTGACCTCTTCGGGGCTCCAGTCCAAGGCACGTGTGAGGGGTGCCATCGTAATTGCCTCCATCCCCGTCATAAAATTTTCGTTGTTCCATGAGCCCAGCTCTTTGAAGTGTTCGTCTTTCGGCCAGGTGTTCGTCGGCCACTTGTAAGTGCTCAGCGCGACATCTTCAAACCCTACCTCGACCATAATCTCTCTTAGCTCGGGCGTATTGACCCACGCTGCTCCAAGCTTGATCGAAGCTTCCATAAGATATTTGGACCAATCAGACAAAGCATGTTCGGGCTTCAAGGTTCCATCATCAGATTGAGCAAAAATAGCGGTCTCCTGAAGCTCAACATAGCCACCAGGCTCGAGATTACTATGTTCGCGCTGGTCAACTACAGGCTTCGTCGTTTCGTCCTGTGATTTTCAATGTAATGAAGGCTTACTCGTAGCATCTTTGTAAAAAGAGTCTCCAGTCTCTGATGCTAGACGTCATGAAACGGCTATGGATGTATTGGAAGGGTTGTGAAAATGTCCACTCGTCTTCGATATCATCGACCTCGAACCTCACATTAGGAGGCACACTGGGATATTGACATTAATGCCAGCTAGGGGGACACCGACTTTAATTTGAAACATACCTGCTAGGCTGAGTGGCGGAAAGGTCGATACCCAAGATATCGGCCTCTGGGTGGTCATCGCCAAACTGAACCGCCCAGATGCCCGTGCCTGTACCGACATCAAGAACGCGGCCAACTTTGGCATCTTCTCTACAGGGTGGAGCGATGCCAAGCTCGCCATCCAGCGTGAGAAGACATAGGTGGTTAACCAAATCTAGGGCACTGATTAGCGGTATGCTAAACCCATGATCACGGTTGGAGATTAATACCAAGTCGGTCAAGCTCGCGTTCATCGTTCGGGAATTGATACTCTAAAGCACAATTTTAGCAACCCAACTGATTGAGTCAATCGCAAAACCTACTTCCATCCTTGTATCGATGATAAGTCCGACCATTTTCACGGCGATAGTCTAGAAGTGAGCTGCGCAGACTCGTACTAGAGGACGCAATGCTCTATTACCAATTTAGTATCTGCAGCATCAATGATTTGCAGAAATGATCACACTTACGGTTCCCATCTCCGAGTGAGAATCATCTTGCTGTAGAAATTCAATCAGACACGAAGTGTGTCGCTGATGGTGCGGTGTGTCAACGAACCTCCTCGTCGGCCGCGATCTGAACCTCAAAATCCTGAGGTGGATTGGCCATGATTGGTTTCGGTGCTGAATTTCAGTGCAGAGAAGGAGTTTGCAGCATGGAGAAGAGAAAGAGAAGTGACAGAGGAAAATGACAAAGTTGTGGTGGCGGGTGGACTAATATACGGTCGGTGTTGGACCTGTTTTTGGCGCATGCAGCGCCGCCTTTCTGCACCAAACACTCAGAGAAACCCATGTCCATAGGCTGTTGGGTGGGCACGGGGGTTCCCCCGCGCGAATAGAAATTTGGTCGCTTGATGCACCAACGAAGTTCGCATGTTTGTCACAGTCGATATCAGCGGGGCTTATTTTCGTTGTTGGTCACAACTTGGCCGGGATTACAAGTCGCAGATTGGTGTGGGGTTTGTGTCGTCCCAATGCGGCATTGTTGTCACCATATAGTGCTGCCATATGAAGAAAAAACCCCGGCTTGTTAGGCAAAATGAAGCAGGGTTTGACAGATATGAGTGCCTGGTGTCAACGTTGAGTGCCAATATATCATAATCCCAGAATCGAACCTCAATCAAAGTATACCGTGCCTAGTAGTAAGGCCATCTAGTCTTCCAAATGAAGTGTTGGCGCTTCACGTCTAAGCTCCACGCTCTGCTCGTTGACATGAACAAACGCGAACGGCCTATACCACGAGATCATCGTCTATGTACAGTCCGCTGCCAGAGTACCTCCATCTACTGACGTATGCTGCTGATATTGTTCGATAGTTTGACCGTTAGTAGTTCCATTCACCCCAACGACAACCCCCAGGTATCTACCGTTCACTGGACTTGCTCCCACATGCCCAATTGTTATCATGTCAATAGCTTCCTGGTTACACAAATCTGGAAAATCAGCCGGGGATGTGAAATGCGCCGTATTCGATGCCGCAACCTCCAAGTGGATTGGTGTGCGGTTTCGGTATTCTGGTGACAGAGCTGAAGTGACCGGTTGCGGTACCGTGGCATTCTCGTTGCTACTGAATGACTGGATTGAAGCAGTTTGCCGCTGCTTGTCTGGTTGTCATACGCCACACTAAAGTCAATGTGTCTTTTCTCATCCAGATATACAGAATTGCCAGCCCTTTCCCCGAGCCACTGGGGGTCAAAGTCCAGATCGACGCTGAATGAGAAGAGCGTTTCTATTTGCCTGCGACCGACAAATGTGATGCCCTTTGCAATAGTGCTATGCGGCATAATCATCGACGATAAGTTTCTTGATAATAATCCGAGTTGGAATGAATTTGCATGTCCCTCGAGAGAAATCAAGTACACTTACTCGTTTGGGTAATATCGGATATGTACCCAATGTGAGGGCAGGACGGAGTCTAGCGCAAAGTCGACCACATCAAGGCCATCATCAATGCCATGCAAACTACTGGAGTTGTTATAGGTGCCAGGAAGTGACGCCATCATCAATCCTCTAACGGGTTCGAGCAGACGTGGCTACAAGCTGACCCGCCTGCTGGCCAGGAAACTGGAAACAAGACCGTCTCTCGGCCCATGGAATACGTCTCGAACCTAGCTCCTGAACTCATTGCGAGTACGACACCCACCAGTGGCCGGTCGCTTTGTCTTAGGAGATATCAGCATGGCCAACTGTTTGTACGTATGATGAGTTCAAGTGCTCGGCGGCGGCGATTGGATTGGCCGGGTTGCTCTCGTAGGGACCATAGACAGCGCGGGAACGGGAGATGGAGCCGCGGTGCAATTTTTAAGTACCTCCTTCGACAAAAAGGTTATAGTACTGGTCGTCTTTTTTGTAAAGGTGTGGTCCTTCGGCGGTCCCCAGCCCGGTGCCAATCCAAGGGTACGAGAGATCCCCAAGGACCCCTGTTTCAATATCAATGGTAGTCAATGCAATGACGGTGCCAGTAGGTGAGACAGCAGCCTCGGTTAGATAGACGGCGTCGTTGTGGTCGTTAAAGAAGAGAGAAGGGTCGTAGCCGGTGAAATTGAATTCAGTATGAATTCTCCACGATAATGCATTGAAGAGGCTGTTGGTTGAGAAAATGAGGTTTTGCATAATGAATTCCTTATAGGAAGTAATAGACACGAAAGTAGTTGTTACATAAGTAGAAGGTGTTATTGTGATGACGAATCGTTGATGCAAATAAGCCGTCTTGGCTAGTTGGCGCGTTGTCTAGCTGTGGAAGCTGCTCACGTCGATTAACGACATGGCTATCAAGCTTCCAGTGGCGTAAATCTGTGCTTGTATAGACTGGTACACCAGGGAACCATGTAAAGGTTACGGTTACACAGAAGAACACATCGTCGACATGAATACAGCTTGGATCGGGGTGAAAGCCAGGAAGTACGGGGTTGAGATAGTTGGCTTCGGCTACCCCCGCAAAGGAATAAACAAGAGCTGTTGATTTCATTCTGAAAATATTATGTTCGGCAGTCTATTAAAGCAATTTCCGTACTCATTGGTTTTTGCAAGCAGATTTATATCCGCCGAGGTCTGGAAGTCCACTTAATACGAAAAAGGATGAATGCGAAAATTGAATACGAATGGAAATACGAGGGTAACCACACCAGTGCTACGCGGGCTTAATCAAATTGATATCACTATCCGTACAGAGATGCCAAGATGGCAAATAACAGGCCAGGCTAGCGCATAGAATGGAACTCGGCGCATATAGTATACATGTAGTCAACTCGGATTCTAGATACCCTCCGCTGGCAAAATCCTCGAATGCTGGTTCAACTTACGATTCTCTACATCTCCAACCAACCACGTGCTACCGTAGGTACTACAAAGTATTGACAGCCTCTCGAACTCGATGGGATAGTACATGTCATCCAGGAATGTAAGCAAGTAGATTAGATCTCGCAATTGAACCACGCAGCCGATATAGAGGTCCTAAGATCGTTCGGAAGCCGCGCGTATTCAAGAACTTTTTTGCCATTCTACCCCTAGGAATACATAGCTAGTACAGGAAACACATGCTCGGAAGGCGAAATCAGTTTCGCCAGCCGTTAGGGCCACCCCAAGTTCCCTTCACCATGGAGGTGTAGTAAACCCACGGGAAAAAGTCCTTCTTCAAATGGTAAAACGCACGTCTAGGGACTGCTTGGTCGAATCCAATAAGGTCGCCAAAAGTCTCCTTGGGAACTCCACCATACTTGAACTCGGCAAGCAAGAGTTTACCATACTCTGTAGGAATCGGGCAAGAGGTGTAGCCATCGTACGAAGGTTGAGGCTCGGTGCCGTCCAATGACCGCAACAGGTTGCTGACAAGAATGGGAGCCTGAGATGTGATTGCTGCAGCAGTCTTGGAAGTGGGTAGATTTGATGCGTCACCTGCCGACCAGACATTGGGGAATTTGGTGTGTCGGGTTGTTGCTTGATCAACACTGACATAGCCAGCAGCATCGGCGAGAGGGCTGCTCTTGACGAAAGCATGAGGGCCCATCTTCGGGACGACATGCATGAGGTCAAATTGCTTTGTGACCTTTTCTTTTCCATCAGGACGGCCGAAGGTGGCTGTGTTACCATCCACGGAAAGGAGATCGTGCTGAAAGAGTCCCTCGACACCCCTTTCCTTGCGCAATTCTTCGAGCTTTGCGCTGTATTTGGGGACACCAAACATAGTGGGGAGGCCAGTGGCAAAGCTGATCTTAATGGGCGAGCTTGCAGGGTCGTTGGGGTTATACAGGCCTGCACGCTTCCAGTGGTCGAGAGCAAGCCACATGATCTTCTGGGGAGCGCCAGCACACTTGATCACGCCGGCGGGTTGGGTAAAGATTGCGTTTCCCTTTTGAAGTCTTCCGAAGGTGCCGAAGACCTTGTCACAAGTATCATAGCCGTAAATGGAAGACACAAGGGAACCGGGGTCTGCAAGAGCCTCGGGCAAGCCCTTAACGCTGCCGTAATCGATGTTGATACCGGGAGCGACGACGAGCTGCTCGTAGCCAAGTTTGTCGCCATTTCCAAGCTTGATGTTGTTCTCTTCTGGGTTGAAGGAGCTTACTCCCTGCTGGTAAAACTTGAGTTTGGAGTCAACCAGGCTCTCGAGCGGCCTTCGCAATTCTTGCTTTGACTTGAGGCCACCGCCAACCAAGGTCCAGCCTGGCTGATAGTGGTGCCATTCGGCCGGATCGACGACAGCAATGTCATCCTGAGAAAACCGACCGGACCGCAACAGCTGGTGGCTAATTGTCAGACCTGCGCTGCCTCCTCCGACGACAACAACTTTGTGGTTACGAGCAGCTGAGCTGACGGGGGCTACTGTTGCGAGATTCCGAATCTCAGAAGCCTTTGCAGCAATTCGGGCGCGGCCGGCATGGCGCGATGCCAAAGTCGCGCGATTGGCAAGCATTCCGAAGTAAATGAAGGAGTGCTGTGAAAAGTTTGCAGAACAGGTGATGGCGGTAATTTTTCGTTAGGGGAGGTTTGGACCACGAGATATCGTGATGATAAAGCAAAAAGATGAGCCAACTCAAGTAAGTATGGCGCCTGAGAAGAAACGGGGTGCGCCGACTGGAAAATGAAAACGCCGAAGCTTTAAAAGAGGTGTGGGGTCCACTCCACCGTCGGATCGCAACAGACGAGTCAAATTGTCAGGATTGCAAGCCGCGCCGAGCATCCCCCGACAGCCGCAAGTGTCTGCTAAAGAAAACTTGCTCATTCCCGGGCTTGACATCCAGTTGGTGTTTCTTCATCCAAAGAGCCGCACCGGCCGGCCGGCTTGTCGGCGAGACTAGTCGGCGAGAATGGTCGCCGATTTCATTTACAACTCCCCGACCGGCACGGGAGCCGCCGGGTTGCAGTGGGGATCTCGTTCGATGTTTAAACTTTCTTTCGGCTGCTCCCAGTATTAAAGGTTTCGGCAGATTTACCCCCCCCCCCCCCCACCACTCGGCCCATTTACATTGTGTGCATCTTCCGACTTTTAGTTATATCATTGCCTCCATCAGCTTGCATCACCAAACCCCACCCGCTCTCTCCTACATTAACTATCGCAACTCGACCTTCAACATGAATACTGTGCGCGCATGTGTGAATAGACAAGTTCAG